AGTTACTCAAGAGGCTGAGATTTAAGGATCACAGATTAAGGCCAACCTGAACAGACAAGTCTATCATACTCTTACCTCCAATTAATCAGCAAAAATCAACCAGGTGCCAGTGGCTCATGCCTGTAATCCTCCCGCTTCTCTAAGCTTGTGTGTTTGGAACTGTTTAGCTTATCTCAGATGCCTTTTGCCTGATATGAGAATTTTCTACTCCCTGTATGTGTGCATCCCTAGTAATCAGCAAGACTTAGTCAGTGGACAAGCAGATTTCCTGAGCTTTTTTCTCTGTGTATGTATGCTGAGGACTGACCCTGGTCCATGTATATGCTAAACTCACTTTCCTCCACTAAGCTATATCCTTGGCCTACTCTGTGTATCTTCTTCCCTCTGGATTTGTCTCACAGTTCATAGCAACTACCTCAACCTCTTTAAACTCTGGTCTCTCATCTTCAACAAGTGAGATTTCTGTGCTCTGTTGAAAGAAAGAAATGCTTGTAGCCAATTTCCGGTGGCTCATGTCTGTAATCCTAACTACTCAGGATGCTGAGATCTGGAGGATCATAGTTCAGAGCCAGCCTGGGCAGAAAAGTCTGAGACTCCATCTCCAAAATAACCAGCAGAAAGCCTGGCTTTTGAGGTGTGTCTCATGCGAGATAGTGATAAGCGGTGTGCAAGCAAGTTGAGCAAGTGTGAGACTCCCAAGTTCAAACCCTGGTGGGGGAGTAGGGGAGGTATGCGGGTGCATGGGGAATGCTCTTCTGGGGGGAAAGTCAAGGAGGTGAGTAAGGCTCTCTCCCCTTTCTTGGGATCACAGTTCTGAACTGTTGCTCCCCAGTATTTGAAACAGTTTATAACAGTAGAGTAGATCTGATCAAGAATGGAAGTAGAGCTGATAACTGTATTAATATGCAGCAAAATGAGACAGAAAATGTTAAGGAATGACTTGACTCACTTGGTAATAATGAATTGATTTTGCCAGCAAAAGGTAACAATTTTAAATGTTTATGCCACTAATGAAATATGACAGAATATGCAGAACAAAATCTACAGAATAAAATTAATGTATTCATACTGATAAGAGCACAGTAAACAATAGAAGAGTGGAATAGTGTGAACAACTTGATTTAATGGTGTTTGTTATAATGATTGCCATGCACATAACTAAAAAGACATTCACCTCAAGCACACATTGAGTACATAGTTAAGAATTTTAAAGAATGGCAAAAAAAAAAAAAAAAAGTAGCCGATAGCTCATGCCTATAATCCTAGCTACTCAGAAGGCTGAGATCTGAGGATCCAGGTTCAAAGCCAGCCTGGGCAAGAACGTCCATGAGAATCTCCAATAAACCACTAGAAAACCAGAAGTGGCACTGTGGCTAAAGTGGTAGAGCACTAGCCTTGAGCTGAAGAGCTCAGGGACAGCACCCAAGCCCAGAATTCAGGCCCCATGACCAACAAAAACAAAAAAAAAACAAATAATGTAAATAAAATCTATAGCTGTTATATATTCATAACTTAATTTGAAGAAATTGTATAAACTGTAGGAAGTATACAGTTGGTATAGTATGGTGGTATACACGTATAATCCCCACAGTCAGGGCTGAGACATGAGGATTTCAAGTTGAGGCTAAGGTTACTAAGTAGTGAGACTTTTTGAAAACTAAACAAAAAGGTAGTAGCTGGGGCTGGGAAGGTGGCTCAGTGGTAGAGTGCTTGCCTTGCATGCATGAGGCCCTGGGTTTGATTTCCTCAGCACCACATAAGCAGAAAAAGCCAGAAGTGGCGCTATGGCTCAAGTGGTAGAGCACTCGCCTTGAGCTGAAGAGCTGAGGAACAGCACTCAGGCTCAGAGTTTGGACCCCATGACCGACAAAAAAAAAAAGCGGGGCAAGTAATAGCTAAACATGAATGTCCAAAGTACCTTAGTATGCAATTAAATTAGGGAAAAAAAGAGAAGATAAAAATCATCTGAAGGCCTGGCACCTGTGGCTCAGACCTATAATCCTAGCTACTCTGGAGGTTAAGATCCAAGGATCAGGGTTGGAAGGTAGCCTAGGCAGGAAATTCCATGAAACTCTTATCACCAATTAACAAAAAAGTTGGAAGTGGAGCTGTGGCTCAAGTGATAGAACACCAGCCTCAAGAACAAAAGCTCAAGTTCAAGCTCCTTGACAAAAAAAAAAAAAGAACAAAAGCTCAGGAACAGCACCCAAGCTCCAAGACTAGCATCAAAAAGAAAAAAAAATACAAAGATTTTTGTATCTAAATTATATAAGATTCCTATCTTACAAAAAAGATAGGAATCATACTGTAGAGAGGATCAACAAGCCAAACTTGTATCTTTCAAAATACTGAAATAGCAGGGTGTGGTGGCACAAGCCTTGAGTACCAGCTACTTAGGAGGCTGAGGTGGAAAAACCACTTGACCCTATAAAGACCCCCTTAGAAAAGATAAATAAAGTGTAAACATTAGGAAGGTGCCAGTGGCTCATGCTTGCAATCCTAATTATTTAGGAAGCTGAGATCTAAGGATCATAAATAGAAGCCAGCCCAGCAGGAAAGCCCATGAGACTTTTTTTTTTTAACCAATCCTGGACCTTGAACTCAGGGCCTGGGCACTGTCCCTGAGCTTCTTGTGTTCAAGGCTAGCACTCTGCTGTTTGAGCCACAGGGCCACTTCTGGCTTTTTCTGTTTATGTGGTACTGAAGAATCAAACCCAGGGTTTCACTCATGCTACACAGCACTCTACCACTACCACATTCCCAGCCCCATGAGACTATTTATTTATTTATTTATTTTCCAGTCATGGTGCCTGAACTGTGGGTCTGGGTGCTGTCCCTCAGTTCTTCAGCTCAATGCTAGTGCGCTACCACTTGAGCCACAGACTACTTCCAGCTTTTTCTGCTTATATGGTACTGAAGAATTGAACCCAGGGCCTCATGCATGCAAGGCAAGCACTCTACCACTGAGCCACCTTTCCAGCCCCACCATGAGACTCTTATTTCCAGTTTACAACCAAAAAATCTGGAAGTGGAGCTGTGGCCCAAATGGTAGAAAGCCAGCCTTTAATGAAAAAGCTAAGAAATAGCTGAGTTCAAGCTCCGGTACTGGTATGCACATACATATTCAGTAGCTAGGATTACAGGCTACAAAAGCAGAAATTGAAAAGTGTCAAGTAATAATGAAATGTTTGCAGTACTCTACAACTACGTAGGAAATAAAAATGTACTTCTTCACAGGAGTTTCTAAAAAATGCTATTGAACCAAGCACCAGTAGCTCATTCCTGTAATCCTAGCTACTCAGGAAGCTGAGATCTGAGGATCACTGCTTGAAGCCAGACAGACAAGAAAATCAGTGAGACTCTTACCTCCAATTAACCACCTAAAGCTAGAAGTGGATCTGTGGCTCAAGTGATAGTGTGCTGGCCTTGAGCACAAAAGCTCAGGGACAGCCCCCAAGCCCCGAGTTCAAGCCCCAAGACTGGAACCAGAATATATATACACACCTATATGTATATATACATCTATACAGTACATACATATAAATATACATACCATAAATACTGTTGTAAAAGGTGAGGCTTTGGAAAGTATTTTACAACAGCAAATTTCTAATTTTACATATGTTGATAAGACCACAGTAAAAAAGATGACTTTTTACATGTCTCTGCATTTCATAGAATAATAAAACTGATGGCAAATTTGTAACTATTTCATAAAGAGTATAAAGCATTTTTAACACAATAAGATAGTCTTATCCTTTGAAATAAAATCCATTATTGTATCAAACTAAATCAAGATTTGCTAGAAGCTAAAATCATCAAAAATAAACCAAAAATAGGGAGGGAAGGGATGGTAGGGGGAAAACAATGGAGGGGGTAACAATGCTTAATAGGAAGTGTACTCATTGCCTTGCTCATGTAACTGTAACCCTCTGTATAGTATCTTTACAATAAAAAATTAAAAATAAACCAAAAAGCTATAAATTGTTATCAGTATCTTTTGCAAAATACATTGTAATCTTCCTGTACTTATCCCAGTTTGCAGAAATAGGTTGAAACTGTCTTCTTTGAATATTATATTTGTTAATAAAGTTAAGATTTTTAAAAATTCATATGCTAGATCTTGAAAACATGTAAAAAGAAAATAAACTGCAAAAGAATAATTAAATATATCAAATAGTGGGTGTGACATAAGGCTTTGCTGTTTAATCAAGCATCTGCAGGGTTTTTAATCCAAATAGTATTATAGTATTGTTTTAAGAAATGCTTCACAGTATTAAACCTATTTAATCTTTACACAAGGCGAGTCAAACATTTCTGGTCCTAAGCATTTTGGATAAGAGATACTCAATCTGTAACAACGCTACAAAGTAGGAACTACTATGGCCCTGTTTTAAAGATGCTCAAGAGTAGATATTAAAGAAACATGTTCAAGGTTGCTCAACTAACAAGTAGAAGAGCCAGGATTTGGACAATCTGGCTCCAAGACCCTATTCCTATTCTAGTTTCTATAGTTCCACCTATAACAACAAGTTTATGATTAAAGGAGAGTGTGTAAGCCAGGTACCTGTGGCCTACGCTTGTAATCCTAGCTACTCAGCAGGCTGAGAGGATCGTGGTTGCAAGCCAGCCTGGGCAGAAAACTCCATGACACTCCTACCTCCAATAAACCACTCAAAACTGGAAGTGGCTCGTGGTTTTGCCTTGAGCAAAAGAGCTCAGGGATAGCACCCAAGACCTGAGTTCAAGCCCAACAACCAATCAAAAAGAAAAGAAAAGTGTGTAAATGCTCATCTGGGGTAATTTGGGGGGTGGGGCAGGTAGCACAAGAGACATCAGGTGTAATTGTTGGAATAATTCATCCTTGAGATGCTGTGATCTTACCCCTCCCTCCCCCCAAGTAGGGGAAGATAAGGCATGGGGAGGATGGGAACACAGTGAACAAAATGCTGCTGTCTTGAAAGTTTTTGTCAAAGTCTTTGTATCTTCCTTTCTGCTAGAGACCATGGCGAGCCCAGGAAAAGACAATTATCGAATGAAGAGCTATAAGAACAATGCCCTAAATCCTGAGGAAATGAGGCGAAGAAGAGAGGAAGAGGGTATACAGCTCCGGAAGCAGAAGCGGGAACAACAAGTGAGTTAGAATGTTGTCAACAGATGATTAGGGAAATGATCCAGCCTCTAGGATTGGCCTTCGTCTTGTATACTTACCTTCCCCTTAGGGGGAAGTGAGCTACTTAATAGGCCACTAGCCCATTTTCCTTTTATTGAGAAATATTAGGGGTTTGGAGGCATGGCTCAGGTGGTAGAGCACCAGCCAATGAATGAAAGCAAATGTTAGATATTGAGTTTGAATGTCTCCCTCCCCCCACCCCCCCAAAAAAAGAAAGAAATATTGGAAGCTTTAACAACAATAAAATAAGCCAGGCACTTGTGGCTCACGCCTGTAATCCTAGCTACTTAGGAGGCTGAGATCTGAGGATCAAGGTTCAAAGCCAGCCCAGGCAGGAAAGTCCATGAGACTCTTACCTCCAGAAAACCAGAAGTAGCACAACTGGGAGAGCACTCTCCTTGAGCTGAAGAACTCAGGGACAGTGTCCAGACTCAGAGTTCAAGCATCATGACCAAAAAAAATCAGTCCCTTATCCCCTTTCCATAAGTTGGACTAACTATAAGACATCATTAATGTCTTAATGTAGCATTCTAATTCCAGCTCTTTGTGCCTTTTGTCTTCTTCACACTGTAGTCAATATTAGGCCTACCCATTAAACCTCAGCTCCAAGCCCGGTCCTTTAAGAGGCTTAGTAGCCATTCTGGACTGCCTTCTGTTTTCTCTAGTTTCTTTTTCCTAAATGCCCTAGTATTTGGACTATACTAATGTTACCATCTGTACTCCCACCCCTCTCCACTACCAAATTGATACCTTGCTTAACTCTAGATGTAGTCACCTAACCTGCTTTTGCCCATTTTCTTGCTATACCATTATTATTTTCCTTTGGAGCTTTTCATACCCACCATCTTCTATACAAAGGACAAAAAAATTCTTGAAAGATTTTATTTTCTAAAAATTCTCTTTTAATGAACATGAACTATTAGAGGAAACATAGAATGTCAACCTATGTAATATATAAGCTCGGCATCATTTTCTCTAGCATTTCCTTATCATTGATGCAATAGTTATTTGGTTCAGTAAGTAGGCTTACCATTGTCCCCATACTTTATTTTCAGCTTTTTAAACGGAGAAATGTGGAGCTGATTAATGAAGAAGCTGCAATGTTTGATAGTCTGCTGATGGACTCCTATGTGAGCTCTACAACTGGGGTAAGGCCTGAAGCAGGTCTGTGACATAACTGCCTCTGGAAAAGAGAATTTGGATGGTTCGTGTCATCTAGAAGCCTTCCCAGGAATGTTCTTTCTTCTATGGGCTCTTTTATATTGTTGTTGGTGGTGGTCATGGGGCCTGAACTCTGGGCCTGGGTGCTGTCCTTCAGCTCTTCAGCTTAAGGCTAGCGCTCTACCACTTGATCCACAGTGCCACTTCCAGTTTTTTCTTCTTATGTGGTGCTGAGGGGCTTCATGCATGCAAAAGCACTGTACCACTGAGCCACCTTCCAAGCCCCAGTGTGCTCTTTTTTAAATGGTCAGTTTAAAGAATGAATCAGCATTCATCTCTGATAGAAATACCTAAGGTAACATTCAAGGGGAGTCAACAGTTCCTTCAGAGATTAAGAATCCATTTGAAATGTTTCAACTTGAAGCAGACAGATTGAACAACCCCCTTCTCCTGAGGCTGTTGGGCCATCCTCTTACCCCTAGAAGGATTGGGTGCTCACATCTGGCTGTGGTGGTTTCTGTTTCTGTTTGTGTTGTTTGTAAAGTCTTAAACCTGTTTTATATTCTAGGAGAGTGTGATCACAAGAGAAATGGTGGAGATGCTCTTCTCTGATGATTCTGACATGCAGTTAGCAACCACACAAAAATTCCGCAAACTTCTCTCCAAAGGTATAAAGGCTGATCCTTCTTTTTTTTGTGGGGGAAGGGGGGGTCCGGTCGTGGGGCCTGAACTCTAGGCCTGGGCACTGTCCCTCAGCTCTTCAGCTCAAGGCTAGCACTCTACCACTTGAGCCACAGCTCTACTTTCAGCTTTTTGGTGGAAATTGGAGGTAAGAGTCTCACAGACCTTCTTGTCTGTGGCTGGCTTTGAACTACAATCCTTAGATCTCAGCTTCCTGGGTAGCTAGGATTACAGACTTACTTAGGGTTTTTTGTTTTTGTTTTTAAGAAGACATAGAACTCTGGGCACTGGTGGCTCATATCTGTTCTCTTAGTTACTCAAGAGGCTGAGATTTAAGGATCACAGATTAAGGCCAACCTGAACAGACAAGTCTATCATACTCTTACCTCCAATTAATCAGCAAAAATCAACCAGGTGCCAGTGGCTCATGCCTGTAATCCTCCCGCTTCTCTAAGCTTGTGTGTTTGGAACTGTTTAGCTTATCTCAGATGCCTTTTGCCTGATATGAGAATTTTCTACTCCCTGTATGTGTGCATCCCTAGTAATCAGCAAGACTTAGTCAGTGGACAAGCAGATTTCCTGAGCTTTTTTCTCTGTGTATGTATGCTGAGGACTGACCCTGGTCCATGTATATGCTAAACTCACTTTCCTCCACTAAGCTATATCCTTGGCCTACTCTGTGTATCTTCTTCCCTCTGGATTTGTCTCACAGTTCATAGCAACTACCTCAACCTCTTTAAACTCTGGTCTCTCATCTTCAACAAGTGAGATTTCTGTGCTCTGTTGAAAGAAAGAAATGCTTGTAGCCAATTTCCGGTGGCTCATGTCTGTAATCCTAACTACTCAGGATGCTGAGATCTGGAGGATCATAGTTCAGAGCCAGCCTGGGCAGAAAAGTCTGAGACTCCATCTCCAAAATAACCAGCAGAAAGCCTGGCTTTTGAGGTGTGTCTCATGCGAGATAGTGATAAGCGGTGTGCAAGCAAGTTGAGCAAGTGTGAGACTCCCAAGTTCAAACCCTGGTGGGGGAGTAGGGGAGGTATGCGGGTGCATGGGGAATGCTCTTCTGGGGGGAAAGTCAAGGAGGTGAGTAAGGCTCTCTCCCCTTTCTTGGGATCACAGTTCTGAACTGTTGCTCCCCAGTATTTGAAACAGTTTATAACAGTAGAGTAGATCTGATCAAGAATGGAAGTAGAGCTGATAACTGTATTAATATGCAGCAAAATGAGACAGAAAATGTTAAGGAATGACTTGACTCACTTGGTAATAATGAATTGATTTTGCCAGCAAAAGGTAACAATTTTAAATGTTTATGCCACTAATGAAATATGACAGAATATGCAGAACAAAATCTACAGAATAAAATTAATGTATTCATACTGATAAGAGCACAGTAAACAATAGAAGAGTGGAATAGTGTGAACAACTTGATTTAATGGTGTTTGTTATAATGATTGCCATGCACATAACTAAAAAGACATTCACCTCAAGCACACATTGAGTACATAGTTAAGAATTTTAAAGAATGGCAAAAAAAAAAAAAAAAAGTAGCCGATAGCTCATGCCTATAATCCTAGCTACTCAGAAGGCTGAGATCTGAGGATCCAGGTTCAAAGCCAGCCTGGGCAAGAACGTCCATGAGAATCTCCAATAAACCACTAGAAAACCAGAAGTGGCACTGTGGCTAAAGTGGTAGAGCACTAGCCTTGAGCTGAAGAGCTCAGGGACAGCACCCAAGCCCAGAATTCAGGCCCCATGACCAACAAAAACAAAAAAAAAACAAATAATGTAAATAAAATCTATAGCTGTTATATATTCATAACTTAATTTGAAGAAATTGTATAAACTGTAGGAAGTATACAGTTGGTATAGTATGGTGGTATACACGTATAATCCCCACAGTCAGGGCTGAGACATGAGGATTTCAAGTTGAGGCTAAGGTTACTAAGTAGTGAGACTTTTTGAAAACTAAACAAAAAGGTAGTAGCTGGGGCTGGGAAGGTGGCTCAGTGGTAGAGTGCTTGCCTTGCATGCATGAGGCCCTGGGTTTGATTTCCTCAGCACCACATAAGCAGAAAAAGCCAGAAGTGGCGCTATGGCTCAAGTGGTAGAGCACTCGCCTTGAGCTGAAGAGCTGAGGAACAGCACTCAGGCTCAGAGTTTGGACCCCATGACCGACAAAAAAAAAAAGCGGGGCAAGTAATAGCTAAACATGAATGTCCAAAGTACCTTAGTATGCAATTAAATTAGGGAAAAAAAGAGAAGATAAAAATCATCTGAAGGCCTGGCACCTGTGGCTCAGACCTATAATCCTAGCTACTCTGGAGGTTAAGATCCAAGGATCAGGGTTGGAAGGTAGCCTAGGCAGGAAATTCCATGAAACTCTTATCACCAATTAACAAAAAAGTTGGAAGTGGAGCTGTGGCTCAAGTGATAGAACACCAGCCTCAAGAACAAAAGCTCAAGTTCAAGCTCCTTGACAAAAAAAAAAAAGAACAAAAGCTCAGGAACAGCACCCAAGCTCCAAGACTAGCATCAAAAAGAAAAAAAAATACAAAGATTTTTGTATCTAAATTATATAAGATTCCTATCTTACAAAAAAGATAGGAATCATACTGTAGAGAGGATCAACAAGCCAAACTTGTATCTTTCAAAATACTGAAATAGCAGGGTGTGGTGGCACAAGCCTTGAGTACCAGCTACTTAGGAGGCTGAGGTGGAAAAACCACTTGACCCTATAAAGACCCCCTTAGAAAAGATAAATAAAGTGTAAACATTAGGAAGGTGC